ATTAATTTAACCGAACAAACCATAAGACATCATTACATTTTCATAAGACATCATTACATTTTCTTGGATCAAGTTAATATATATATACATTAAATTCCGAATTGTAAGTATTTTCATAACTATTTCACTCCTTTTACATTAAATTCCGAATTGTAAGTATTTTCATAACTATTTCACTCCTTTTACATTAAATTCCGAATTGTAAGTATTTTCATAACTATTTCACTCCTTTTACATTAAATTCCGAATTGTAAGTATTTTCATAACTATTTCACTCCTTTTCTGTTCTTTCTATAGTGCTTCTTCATTTCTAAAAGAGGTAGGTCTATGCATATGTTTTGGACATCGATGTTGTTGTCAATATCCATATATATAGACTACTATTGTATTTAATATCGTATTTAAATCTCGTGTCGATGCCCATAACCTAGGCGTTGTAGGAACTTCGTTCGCAACCACAGGACAAACAGCTCAAATTAAATGTAATTACTACCACCTCCATGCAAGATCACCAAATCATTTGGAGCCAATCTGCTACAATAGTTAAGATTTAATTGACTCGATTTGATGAACTAAAAAAATCTGAGCAGATTGACTTTTATCCACACCTTAATATATGTCCTGAATATATTTTTAACGTTTGAATTGATGTATTTAAGAAGAAAAAATATTTTCTTACAATCTCTTTAAGGGTTCGAAATGCATCATGATAACCTATGGAAAAATACCCACTTCACCATAAGAGTGCATGTAAGCATAAGCATTAGGGTTTCGTGTTCATATTAAATTTAGTGAGTCAATGGACATAAATTTATCTCCTTTAAGTGCTTATCAATCAGTTTATTTTTTTCTTTTTAATGTTTTTGGTTATCAACTTCTCATCTACACAAACACTAATTAAAAATCAAATATAAATTATCTTTAAGTTAAAAGTTAAACAACAAAAAGAGATCTCAAATATTCGTGAATTTATCTATACCTATAATTTCTCCGAGCTCCTTTCTGTACACATATCCGGCATACATGTGAAATAGAAACCTAATCACCCCAAGCTGAAGTAAAATCCAAAACTCATAAGAATTCGTTAGGTGCAAGAGCTAGAAGTTCATATCAGCCGAAAGAAACAGCAGAGAGGACATCAGAGGACTCAAACAGGACCAGAAATTGGCCAGAATTTACATGTGAAAATAGAAACCTCACATTGAAGATGAGGAGGAATCCGAAATTCAAAAGGAACTCATCATAGCCGAGCAACAAAGACCTCACTCCTCGTTTTTAACAATAGCATAGCCATATTATTTACCACTAGTAACATATGAAATTATACATGCACAATGGGTTTAATTCATGGAATTCGAGGTTTTTACGATTTTGATGTATGACATTTACAATCTTTCCATTCTAAAATATCCATAGATATTTAATTTTGTGGCTACCTTCCTCCAAGATAACATAGCTATACACTTTTACATATTTGTATATACTACAAGAAAAGGCTTAAAAAAATAAATCATCTATTTATATTTACTTGTTTTTACGGTTGAATAACCATTGTTTTCAAAAATGGTTTTATATGAATTTTTTAATATATTTTTTCAATGAATGTTTGTTTAACTCGAAACTTGCATGACTAATCACTATTTCATGTTAATTTAAAAATAATAATAATAACAATTAAAAAGAAAAAAAATAGTAAGATTAAAATTTACGATTGTTTAGTCAAATATTTTGATATTATATTAAAATAATTATTTCAACCTAAAACGTTTAAATGAAGTTTCAATAATAATTTTATATTAAGTATTTAACACTTACTCGATTATAATATAATTGAATTCATTATAATTAATCATTGGAGAAAGAAAAAAAATAGTTTGATGGTAATTTTTTATATCATGTAGACAATCACATTCCATTTATAAAAAAAGAACCACAAGAACTATAATTCTCATACAATACTATTTCCTAAAATAGTAGCTTTTTTCTTTATTTTTTTAATTTGTTTTTCTTTTTAATTTTATTTTTTAATATTAGATTTATTAAAAATTAAATTTCATAATTTTTTCAATTTACTTTTTATGAGGTTATCATGTATTCATGACCGGTAATGCAAGTTAATTGGTAAACTTCTTTAACTCTAGTTTTTTTCTAATTGATTTTTCTAACTCTAGTATTAAACACATCATTCAATATTGAGTTAATTAGAAATTAAATTTTATATTTTTTTATATGTACTTTCCATGAGGTTATCCTCATTTCACATCTTGGTTTACGAGTTTAACAAGTTAATTCTGGGTAATTCTATTTTTTTGTTATTTTTTAATCAATTTTTTTATTTTTTTATTTATTTTTTTCAATTCCACCTTTAATTTTAAATTTATTAAAAATTAAGTTTTATAATTTATTTTTATTCACTTTTTCTATCTATTATAATGAAAGACAATATTTCTTTATACTATTTCTAAGACCCTGTTTTATGTCCAAGAAAGATATCAGGAAATACCGCCCTCGGTCCACCGACCAGAAACAGCACGCAATAACCAGCTAGTCTCCCTACAAGTATCAGGCACGCCAACAGTCGGTCTGGTGCTTGAAATCTCAGAAATTAGGTATCATTTTTCCCAAGTTTGAGAACACATTTTGCTGACTCCCCTTGTCTTCATTCTTCCATAAGAGAACCTTGATTTCTTTCTTTCTTTCTTTCTATGTTTTTTGTTCCTTGTTTCTTAGTCCCAACAACCTGTTCATGTCATCAGATGGGTTCTGGTTAGAGAATATATAAACACAGATTTATATATCTCATGCCAGATGGGTTCTAATTACAGAATTGAATGTGAAAACAGGATTTTGTTTGATGCTTGTATAGAGGCTTCCTGTTTGATGCTTGTATAGAGGCTTTCTAATTACAATTAGGCATGCCCTCTTAGGCCTTTTCAGGTCATGTGGATTTACATGCATGTAAATAACAATGCAATTAGACTTCCACGTACATTTAACTGAGGGATATATTTAATTGGAATTCTCAGCCAGCTTCCATACCCATGATAAGCAGACAATCTGTTGACTGAAACCCAAGATTTAGGCAGCACCAACTTTCTACATGATACAAAAAAATATCCTTGCACCTTTCTTAATTTAACAAGTATTTTTATTTCCATCTAGCAATCTCAATCTCAGCACACCACGACACCCCTTTCATGATTCCAAGATAATATATGCTAATCCCATGTTCACATCTTGTAGATTCATTTCCCATAACATTCGTCTTGTTCATTTGAAGACCTTGATTATTAATCTACTTAATTGTGAAATATTTCATGTTTTAAAAAATTAAAAAGATATAATTCAAACTGAGGGAGTGAAAAAGCTCCCTTTTTCCTATTAAGATATTAAAATAACACAGTGTAAAGAGTTTTTTCAAAATATAATTTAATATTTAAATCAACTTGGATCAATCAAAATTAACTATCAATCTACGATTAAAGCATTAGACTTGATCAACTCTAAGTAAAATCAACTCTAAGTAAATATACTCGAATAGTGTTAGAGAATAATATAAATCATATATTGATATCTCACTTAAAAACTTAAACTATTAGATAAAATAATTTTTTGATATGATGTCAGAACCTTAATAATTAAATGATCACAAATTCAAATCTTATTATTTTTATTTATTTAATAAAAATTAAGTATATATAGTATAGACTTGTATAAGTTTCAAATTTAACAGATTTTTATTTAAAATAATATAAATTATATATAAAAATTTCATCTAAAAATTTAAATTTAAATTATAGGATAATACCAACAGTTAACCTTACGTGGGAAAACTATTTTCAAGTACTTAGTTAACCTAATAAATATGGATCCCGTATTTGTAAGAGAAGTTAAAGCAACTATATATCACCATGAGCTTCGATAGAATACAATCTGAGATCGTCTTTGCAACTTTAAAATGGAGGGCCACAAACAAACTAGGGAACAGTTATAGCTAGCCCGCCCTGCTAAGCAAAGCAACCCAGGGGAGGTGGATTGAGCTGCACCTCTTCTATCGGGCAAGAAGGACTTCAGATTCCCAAGGCAATCTATTCTTCATTATTCAATTGAATTGGATATATATAACCAAATATTTTTGTGGCCCAATTACACAATTTGAATCTAAATTCTTAATTGCTTTAATTTTGTTTAGCAAAATATTCTATCCTGGACTTTCATAAATCTAAATTCAATTCCGTTTTAATGCTAATTCAATATATTTATATTCGATTTTATTTCTTTTTAATAATGTCTTTATGTATTTATATATATATATATAATAAATAAATTATTGTTTTCCTGCAACAACTCTAATATTTCAAAGTAGCCAACAGCTATAATTAAACATCCGTATGCTAAATGACCTTCCCCATCATTTATGAGTCAAGAAAATCAAACCTCAAATTGACAAAGCTTAGATCACAGTTTCTTGGACGAGAAAACATCAAATTGTAGACTGAACAAAATTTATAAGGCATCAAAATTGTAGACGTTCTTGTTGGTTTTTCAGTTACACCATTATAGTCTTCATCTGCACGCCCTACCTAGTGCACATAAGACGTGGAAAAGCACCACCGAACCCTAATCTATCAAGCCGTAAATAGACATTTTTCCTCTTCACATAATGCGTTGGGTCAATCTCCAACCATTAGATTGAGATTCTACCACAGTAGACAGGTTCTTGGAGGGCATAAAAGTCAAGGAAAACACAGGAAGAAGATGATGATTTAAATATAAAAAACAAAAATTGCAGTATATGGTGCGAATTTACACCTCGAAAGCTGTTTATTTTAGCTAAAACTACAACATCTCATGTAGGTTTTCGGAAACACAACAATTCCCATGTCCCTTTCTTTACGATAACCCCAATCTCTCACTCTTTCACCACCACCTTCCCTTTTTTTTAAAAAAAGGTTACGAGAAAAATAAATTATTATCCATTTAATCTCTCTTCTACATTGCTTCTCTGTCTAGATAAACAAAGAAAGTAAAGGCTATAAATAGGGAAGAAGAGTGAAGTCATAATATGCACTTCTACTTCTTTCAGAATTCTACAAAATAAATTTTCCGAAAGCTGAAGAGGCCGGAGTGTGACCAAATTAAGCCTGCAGGTCTGTGCTCCTTTCTTCTGAAAACATGAATATGTTGTTATAATTGCATGGTTTCTTGCACAAATAAGCAAAGATTTTATCATAGATTTTGCTGCCAGGGAAAAAACAAGAAAAGAATCTTCTTCCTTGCCTTACACATGAACATCTCTCTCTCTCTTCTTTTTTCTCATCTTCTTTGCTTCAGTGCCCATTCCCTAGATTTCCTTCATTTAACATTATTCTTTCTCTTCTGTGCAAAATTCACGTGTTTCTCTTCTTTTTTTACTTAGGCTCTTCATGTTTTCAAGCTTTCTTCATCTGGTTTTTTCCCTTTTTTTGTTTTTCTTCTATGTAAAAAATTTGAAGAAATACACTGTTATGAATGGGAGAAAAGTTTAAAGACAAGGGTTTCTTCTTCTTCTTCTTCTTCTTCTTCTTCTTCTTCTTCTTCTTCTTCTTCTTCTTCTTCTTCTTCTTCTTTAATGTATTTTGAAGTTCTTTCTCTTCAGCACAGCAGTTTGATCAGCTGATCTTAAGATGATGCACTTGAGGTTTTATTTTTTAGGCAGTTCATGTCGTTTTCACTTCAGCTTCATGTATAATCACCATCAACTTCTGCTGATCTGAGTTATTGTTGTCCCCTCAAGACTGTGGATATATATTTGAGAAGAGAGACATGAAGAGAAAGACAAGTGCAAGAAAATGGGACACGCTCCCAATAGTAGTAAAATAATTAGTACATAAATCATGTTTAACTCATGCTAGATTCCCTTCTCTCATTTTCATCAGATCAAAGGGTATACAATATACATCCATACATATATATATCCACTTTTCTTGTTGCCCTCCTCCATATTTCTTAGTGTGGTTTACATCTTTCAAAACCTGGATCTTTTGAGATAAGCTTCAATGTTCAAGCTCTCCTCCCATTTCTTTTTCTTCCCCTTAATCATTCTTACAGATCTTGCATATATAAGACAACCAGTCCTTCTGGTATTTCTTTCTTGGTAGTTCCTTTTGGAAACCTTCTTGAACATCTTTGCTCGCCTCATGATCATCTTCTCCTTGAAATAAAGTTTGTTTCTTTCTTCTTTTGGAGATTTTTGTTAGTCCAAGCACTTAATGCATACTGCCTAGTGGTTTACATCTTTCTACACCAAGATCTTTTGAGCTAAACCTCATTGATAAAGCGCTATCCTTCCATCTCTCTCTCCTTAATCATTTTTGCAGATCCATCATTTTTTTCTGAACAACCTATCCTTCTTCGTAGTTATTTTGGACGCTTTTATCGAGCATTCTTTCCTCATCTCACCTTTTTCTTGAAATCAAGTTGCTTTCTTTGTCTTCTGGGGAGATTTCAACTTTAACTTGTTGATTTAATTCATCCACAAGGAAAAATATTTCACTGAAGAATGCAAAGAAACAGATTTGCACACACTTAAACTTCAATAATACAAGCTTTTTTTTTCTTCTTAATTTTTTTCCCATCTTCTATTTTACTCTTTATAAAAAGATTTTTTTTACCATTTACTTCTCTACAGTCTTTCTCAGACTGTTGCTATTACCTAGCTATTCCATGCTTTTTTGGGAGGCATGACATGTAAAGGTCAGATCAGCTAGCTATTAGGTTAAGAACACTGGCGCATATATAATACATAAGCTTGATTGGTTTATGAAAGAAACGATCTTTTGTGTAGACATGGGAAGAGGAAAGATTGAGATCAAGAGGATCGAGAACACAACCAATCGTCAGGTTACTTTCTGCAAGAGGAGAAATGGGCTCTTGAAGAAAGCTTATGAATTATCAGTTCTTTGTGATGCTGAAGTTGCTCTCATCGTCTTCTCTAGCCGTGGCCGTCTCTATGAGTACGCCAACAACAAGTAATTTTACCTTCTCCTTATTGTCTTTTCTTTTGGATCTTGATGGGAACCTCCTTTTCTTTCTCACAGATCACTAGGTCTTGTTTGATGCTTCTTTTTTCATAATAAGTGCTTCTTTCATAGAACAAGAGACAGTGAAGGGTGAAATATTAGGAGGGTATATCCTAAATTATGCAAACTGTCCATGATTTTTGGCTTTCCAAGGAGTTGTTTGTCAGATCAGACTATTTGACTTGGATCTCAGTTGACCGACACTGATATGTTCGTTTCTTCTTTATACTGATATTATCTCGACTTTACTGGAAGTTTAGCAGAGGAATGGCAGCATAAAAGCCATCTCTTTAAATTCCTAATTATCACCGGAACGAGAGTATAAAGCCATGTCTTCTATATGTGAAATAAGAAATGGCCATATCAAGAAATCATGATCTCATTGTCATCTTCCAGTGTGCTTTCTTTCCTTATTTTTGCTGATCATTTTGGTGGTTTATATGATCTGAAGTGCTTTTATTTCATGATTTTTTCTTCCTGATCTAGTATCTATGCATTCATTAACATGTCTAATGGGATCTAATTATAAATCACGATAACAAACATTTGGCTGTTTGTAAATTGAAATCATGATTCTCATAAGAAAGATGCTTTAAAGATTTGAAGTGTTCCTGATTTTTAGATTTGCCCTATGTTATTTTACTATTTATAGTGAGTTTTCACTACCATTATAGGTGCTAAAGATGATATTGATTTGCCTAGACACATTGTAGGGCTTCCCCGTCTAGGTAATTAATTAAGCAAACATTGGTATGCTAGAAATCAGAGTGCATTTAGGGCTTCCATGAACAAGTATAGTCATATTATTAATAGCTTGTTTCATGTAATTGCATTTTAAAGTATTTTTTATTTAGAAATATATTTAAATAATATTTTTTATATTTTTTAAATTTATTCTTGAAATTAACGTATTAAAACTATTTGAAAACATTAAAAATAAATTAATTTAAAGTAAAAATAAAACTTAATTGTTTAAAAAAAACACTTTTAAAATATAAAAACTTACAATAAAAAAATTAAATATTTCTAAGTAATTAATAAGATAAATTTAACAGCAAAAATTTGTTTAATTCAATTAAAATATTAGCTATCCTGTTGAAGAAGAGTTACAGATTTATCAACATCAATAAGAAAAACACTTAAGAGTATAATAATGATAGCAATAATTATCATAGTACGTAGCAGTTGCAAAGAAAGCAACGAGTTCTTTCTGATCTCTTAACAGAACTGATCTTCTTCCCTCCATTAAGACCTCGGATTGTAAAGCAAACCCTAGCTATTGTCTTGATTCTCATTTTTACCTTTTTGGTGCTGCAATTTTTGAGGATCCACACCGTGTAGCTGCGACTCAACACTCCGAGTGATTAAGCCTGGCCCTTTTCCCATTCCATTGCTAATATGGGTGCTCGGTTTTCAGTACCTTCTGTTTCCACTTTGAGCTTTCACTGACAACAGTTTAGACTTTTATCTTTTGCTAGCTCTTATTCATTCCATAAGATCAGAGATTTTAAAACTAGTCAGTGAAGACAAACAAGTTAAAAATGAAAGCTCAAAGTGGAGACAAGCCTAGACATATTCTTTAGTTTTTCCAACTCTTTTCAAAAGCTTCATTAATGGTCGATCCATTCTCTTCCTCCCTCTTAACTTTATTTACGGATTGAATGCTCTAGCAAGGAAAAGGTTATCAACGAAGTAGAAAGTAGAGCAAATCTATTTCAAGTCCTTGTGAAAAGGCACATAGGGAGATTCATTTGCCATTGTCTTTCCTCCATAAATAGAAACCTGAACTGAATTTCCATGATCAGTCCCATGATAACCTTTTTGTTCAATCTTTTTTAGTACCTTCGTTGATCATAGCTCCAAAGTTTAAAAAAGCTCTATGTGTTGTACAAAAATTTATTGAAACTTTTTTCTGAGAAAAAAAACTATTGAAAGTGAAATGCAATTAACCACAAGCTCACTGAAGTATGTGGATTTTAGTATAATAGTTAATATCATAATAAAAATTTAATTTTTGATAATAAGTTTATGTTCAATCCCAAATTCACTTTTTTCCAACTCATGATTTTTAATTTTCTAACTAAAAAAACTAACCATCAAAAAATAAAATAAAAAAAGTTTTAACCTTTTACATGATTTAGAATTTACAAATAGTTCTTTTCTTCAGGGATGGCAATAAGTATTCACAGGTTGGATTTTTTAATATTCATATCCTACCCATTATTTATTGGATAAAAAATTTAGATATTTATAAATTATTCACTTGATTAAAAATTTAGATATTTATAAATTAATCAACAAAAAATAAAATAATTAATATGTGTATTGAAAGTATGTATATGTCTACTAAATTATAAATATTATTCATATATATGTTTTATATCATATTAAGGTACATATATATCATGTTGTATTAAATAAAATCTAAATATTTTATGTATATATTTATATAATATAAATATATATTCTTGGTTAGATTCGAGCAGATTTCAGGTCGGGTTTAATAATATTTATACTCTACTTGATATTTATTAGGTCTAAAAAAAATCTATTCATTTAGATCAGGTCAGTATCTATCGAGTTTGGATTTATATATATATTAAATTATAAATATTATTCATATATATGTATGTTATATCAATATTAAGGTATATATTATCTTGTATTAAGTAAAATCTAAATATTTTATAAATATATTTATATAATATAAATATATATTTTAGGTTGAATTCAAATACATTTTGGGCCAGGTTTAACAATACCTATATTTTATTTATTATTCATTAAATTTAAAAAATATTTATTTATCCATATTAGAATTGATAGATTAAATTATCATCCTTACATCTTTCTTCACGTTTTTCAATATCTTCTGGTTTTTTTCATGTTGCTTCTGTTGCTCCTAACTTTGATTTTGATTTGGTCCAAGTGCTGGTGGTTGGGTCGTCATTTTGTTATACTTCTTTTCGAATGGTTTTGTAATTGTCTTTTCAATAATTATTCAATAAAAAAAAATTAAGCTCTCTTTTGATCTAAGCTCAACAACATTTTAAGTGATTAATAATTATGGAGTTCTCAAAGAATATTTGTGAATAAGATGCATTAACAAATCAATAAAAAAAAATGCATGTCCTACGTTTCCTGTAAGTAGATAAACGTTTTAAATTCTTCTAAATTCTAAAAATTCAAATACAATTGGTTGAACATTAATTAATAATCTTGATAATGATGATTACTAATTAGGCACCAAATAAATCTTAGCAAGTTCCCTTGATCATTCTTTAGCCAATAAATCCAGCTTTATACCCACGAGATTATGGGTTTGAGAGCCTATCCTCTCTCAATGATTAAAAAAAAATAAAAATTCTACTGAACTAGCCATGATCAAAAATTCTAAATTTCAACTCACAACCGGACTTGTAACTTAGAAAAAGATGCCAAGTACTGATGCAGGATGGGTTAATTTGGTGCCCAGTTCACGTACAGGTAACTCCTTTCTCTTCTTTTAATGGTGTGATTGATTACAATATCTGCTCTTCACAGCACGTACGTTCTTTAATCTTGATCTTTTACTCTTTAATGGCTTATATATCCCATCTTCTTTCGATCTTCCTGTTTCCATTTTCAGCTTTGGAAATCTCCCCCTCCTTTGCTTGTTTCCCATAGCAAATCTAAAATCTCCTTTGCTCTCAGTTCTCTTCGCCCTAAAAGCATGTTTTACTCTCCGTACTTGTCTTTTGTGTTTCCATTCTTATGTTGGTGTAATAAATGAATATATATATAGTGATTTTGCTACGGTTTCTTCATTTTTAGTAATGGCAAGTGGAAAGTCAAGGAAAGGTTCTGCTATTGTTAACTTGGCGCGTGAGGTGCAAGAAAGTATCTTGTTCTCTATACAAATGAACTTATCTGTCCTGGAAAGTTGACAACTGCAGTGGTCGATGTTTCATTGTTATGTTCTTTTGATATTCTCTATACACAGTATTATGATATTAATATATACTAGGTTTAGGTGGGTTGACAAGGAAATTATGTAAAAGCAACTTTTTCATGCACTTGTTTTCATTCGACTAACATCTTTACATTATATATCGATTAATTTTCTTCATGTTATTCGTAAATCAAACATTATGTTTATGAAACCCTAATGCGGCTTAAACAAAAGTTTGAAACGGTAAAAATTAAATATGGATCTCAGATCCTTTTGCATTGATCCTTTCCTGTTCCATTGCTGTTTGGACTTAGAAACTTTGTTTATTTTTTGTAGCAGCATAAGATCAACTATAGATAGGTACAAAAAGGCGAGTTCAGATAGTTCAAATGCATCCTCTATCACAGAAATCAATGCCCAGGTATACTTTTTCTTCCTCTATATTTTAATCTTTATCAATTTATACCAAGTTGTTTTAAATTTCAGGTGCTTGAATTTCTCTCGATTCATTAGGTTACTTACTTTTCCTGTATTATGAAATATAGTATTATCAACAAGAATCAGCAAAGCTCCGGCAACAAATTCAAATGCTACAGAATTCTAACAGGTACGATCTCCATTGTATCTTTTTTGATGTTATAACCTAAAAATGGACAAACTATTAAACTATGGGACGTTTCCGTCCTCTTGATTTTGTTCTTAGCAAATTAATAGGAATTTGTGTACAAATATCTAACTTAATTTTCACAATATTAGCTGAACATGTGAATTTGTGATGCAAAGTTTAGCTTAAATAATTTTGTCAGACTATGATCCCCTTCCCTAACCCCTCTCGTTCTAGGTGTAATGAGATTTGATCCATCATTCATGACCTCTAAAAAAAAATACTAAATGACTCTACTAAGACTTTGAAACTCATACATGCCTTGAATGGTCCTTTCTTTTACACACTCTTCATCACAGTTCGGTGCTGCTCATGCTTTCCCTTCTTGGCTTGTAGGCACTTAATGGGCGATGCTGTAAGTAATTTATCTGTGAAAGAGCTTAAGCAGCTGGAGAACAGGCTTGAGAGAGGCATTACTAGAATCAGGTCAAAGAAGGTAAAAACATCATACAATTGCAAGAAAATATGTAAATGTTCAGTCACGTTTAATTAATATATCATCACCTCTTGGTACGTATGATCATTATTTGAAATTTGCTGTGGTAGTATTTTAAGTCAGTTTAACCTATATGAAAAGGACTGGCTTATGATCTTAATTTCTTGTCTTTGTTGCTTCAACAATTATATCTTTCGATTGTTTCATACATGCATAGAAGTAATCATGTACGTCACTGTAATGGCTCTCAACTTTTTTGCTGTATCAAAGTTTTTTTTATGTCCTCAATTATTTTTGTTCCTCTACTTGCCTGTTGGGACAGCATGAGTTGCTGCTAGCCGAAATAGAGTACTTGCAGAAAAGGGTAATTTCTAGCTTGCTCTCACTTTCATTTTATACTTTAGGAACCTCTTTTTTGTCTAATTCATGTCCGAATTGATTTAAACACCTCTTTTTAGGAGATTGAGCTGGAAAATGAAAGTGTTTGTCTTAGGACCAAGGTAATGAAGAACACCAAATTCTCTTACGTATCAAATGTTGATGAGGCTCTTGATATTTCCATATCCTTAACAAATATAATAGCACGCATTTGACTTAAATGGTTAACTTGATCTTTATTATTAACAATCTCAGATAGCAGAAGTTGAGAGGCTTCAACAAGCCAACATGGTGACTGGAGCAGAGCTGAATGCCATCCAGGCATTAGCAGCCTCTCGCAATTTCTTTGCTCCCCATTTGCTTGAGGGTGGAACAGCATACCCCCACAATGACAAGAAGATTCTCCATCTTGGGTAATCATCTTTCCATTTTATCTTCTCTTTGTTTTGCATTGCTTGTTATCTATTACTGAATGCTGAAGAGGCATGCTCCTTCAAGTAAGAGGACTAAATGTTCAGTGTTTACTTAATTTTTTATTTTTTGCTTTATTCATGCAGGTGAAAAAAAAAAGGAAATATTGGACAACTGGTGTGCAAGTGGTATTTTGATATATATATATATAATTCAATCCAGAAAATAAAGATACTACGATATTATCTGGTAATATTGTGGTCATGTGTGCCCTGCTTAATTTGGAATTGATGTTTAAGAGTCCTTAATTACCTCATCATTGTCAACTGGATTTATTATCTGCCCAGATAAGATGTAAACATTACTGGTACCTGCTTTAATTTGTATGGTTTTTTATGAATTCTACTAATAAACAGCTAGCGCAATATTAATCACGGCTGAAAGGCTATTGATTATGCTAGTTTTATCTTGATTTGTTTGAAGGTTTTCTCTCATATAAAACTATCTAGGAAGCTCTGTTATAACTCAATTTTGGATTCACTAAAAATTTTTGAATGAATGTTATTTTATCTTATTATTCATGACAAAAAAAATATAATAAATCAAAACAAAAGAAAAAAAAAAGAGTTTAAAATATATTTTCTCGAGCCAACCGCATCTTTCTACCAAAACCGAGTCCATCGGGTCAATATGGGTCCCACCATGTTGACCGCGATGAAAAATGAGTTTCGGGCCGTTTCGGGTCAAAATCATCTTTGAGAGTACCGAGTCCACGGGGTCAATATGGGTCCCACCATGTTGACCGGGATGAAAAATGAGTTTCGGGCTGTTTCGGGTCAAAACCGTCATTTTCGATCAAAACTGAGTCCATCGGGTTAATGCAGGTCCTACCATATCGACCGCGATAAAAAAAAATGAGTTTCAGACTATTTCTGGTCAAAACTAGTATTTTTGGTCAAAAAAACCCGATCCATCGAGTTGATACCCGTATAAAGATTTTTTTTGTAATTTAAATTGATTTTTTGTGGATGAAAAGCTTTTTATAATACTGATTTGAATTTTTAATTTTACCCCTGTAAATAAATATTATTATCATATATTGTCGCACGTCAAAAAAAAATCCGCGCGTTGTCGAGCTCCGATGATTTTTCATTGTTATTATTTGATTTGATCTTGTTGGATTCGTTAGCAGTCGCCACCTAGTATTTAATTGAAGGTTACTAGGAAACTCAGTTGTACTGGTCTTGTCAGAGATTCGCGGCTAAGGGACCGGTTGTGGTTAGGGAAGGTATTAGCACCCCTAACGCACCCTACCTAAGATAAGCTGCTTCATGGACTTGATGTATTAAAGAAGTTTTAAAAATTTTGTCTTTTCATCGGATTTTAGAAATACAACTTCCGTACAAGTTTGTACTTCTACACCGTGATCCAATCAAAATATTAAATTCTTCTTATTCTCTACAATTTTATCATAAATAAAAAGAAAACATTCATAAGACAAATACAAACACACACACACACACATGCATTTTTTTTATTCTTTTTCTTTTTTCTTTTTTCTTTTCTTTTCTTTTTTTTTACATCCACATTACAAATTATAAAAATCCAAAACTAGATAAAAATTACATTAAATAATTTAAAATTTACAAAACAGTCCCTAAAACTCCAAAAATTACATTGAAGTCCCTTATAGGGCAGTGTGAACAGTGCCGAAGTGTGGACAGTGGCGGCGCGGTTTCTCCC